TATGGGCTACCCCACTACAGCCTACACAAACGTAAAAGCTATATTGTTCTGACAGGAGACGGCGTACCGAATCTTCGTTGCATCCGACGTGACGTAGTTCGCGTAAAAAAACAAGTTCATTGTGAAGATCCACGTTCGAACCGTCGAACCCCCATGCTTGCTAGGATCAAAACAGGGCGGGCATTGCATCTTGAGTGGCATTGGCTCACCGATGGCGTGGCAACTGATAGGAACCGCAATGCTAATGTGATGACAGGCTTCGCAAGGTGTGTTTGTTCCCGGCATTTCCCTGGCTCGGTCCACATTTCCAGCATGGATTGGGTGGCGCCATCACTGATTACGCCAATGCGTTGTCTTACGCTGTCATGTTGAGATGGTGTTCTTGATGAGATGACAATTGGCTCCTCAGATGGTGCAGGTGCACTTGCTGGTGCTGTTGCATTTACCGATGATTGTTGAGGCGTGAGTCGTAATTTCGAGCGCCAACTCTTGCAGCTAGCGCATAATGTCGTCTAGGTGTTCCTGCATGTGACCTTCGAGGGGAATGCACGCGTTTTCGTCCATGGCGGGGGTGTCGGGCTAGCTCAGCAAAAGCCTCGGTCGTGACTGTGTGTGTTTAAGGGAGAGCACACGACAAGTGGTGCTTAGTCGCTGAGGGATGTTTACCCCCTCCAAAAAAATGAGATAATGTGGGAAGCAAAGGTGCGGGCGCGGTTTGAAAAGGATCGTGGCTGTGATCCCAAGTGTTAGGAGTGCAATTGAGTTAGCGAACGAAGATTGCACTCTCGAAGCAAAACAGTAACGAACCAAGGAACGAGAGAATGTCATATAGCGAACTAGCGTGGTGATGGTAAAGCACAAAATGTGGGGTGCGCAACGGGCCTGGCGCCGGGTTTGAAAATTGTCGAGGTTGAGGACCAGAGCGCGGGTTACCAACCGAACCTTGAGGTTGGGTGGCGATGTGAACAGTGGCGGGAGTAGTGGTCGAGGCGAGTGTCATGAGTGGTAATGTTTTACTGTAGGGTGCTGTTTGTGGGAACATTCGTGTACGCAGTAAGCAAGGGCGCGAAGTAAGGAAAATGAATATTCCTTACATTTCTTTACAATAAAGTAATATCTGCGTTTAGGGTATTTTTTGGTATGTGGATTATGTACACATTTGTAAGGAAAAATCCTTTTCCTTACTTCGCGCCCCTGCTCAGCGCGTACATTACTATAGCACCACAACCAGCACCGTTACCACTCGCAACCTTCGCATCGACAATCCTCCCGCCACCTTCGCACGTCGCACCCCCGACCTCACGGCTCGGCGGGTAACCCGCGCTCCGGGCCTCCGCCTCGACATTTCCCAACCACAGTCCCAACCTCAGTTCCAGGCCCGCCGCGCGTCACCCACAGTTCGTTACCGTTACCATTGGGGTCTTCGCTATTTAGTTATCGCTCAATCCTTCGCTCATTGTACTCTTGCTTCGATAGTGCAATTCTAGTTCGTTCACTCAATTGCACTCGTAACAACATTCAATGAGTGTTTTAGTATTTTTCATGGAAGGGTGTGCTGGTGGGATTTCCTGTCTGTTCTTCACGAATGACGACAAACTGCAGACCTCACACCAAGGCCTCAGGATTACAGGACATTTTACACTGATTAGCCTGTTTTTCAGGGCTGGTTTCCAGACTGCACTGTAAATACTGGATTCAAGTGTTTTCCCACCCTGTCACGATCAGGCCTCGTGAAATTCTCACCCTTGTTTTGCAGTTGTTGGTTTCTTTAGCACACTGCCTTGGCCGAGTTCGGCAGCGGCAGCAGTCTGACTGAGTTTTGTTACCCTTAGCCAATCGTATGCTCCCGTCAGTTCCAGCCATTGGCCCAATTTTCTTGACTTCATCAAAAACCTCGAAAACTGGCGAAGTCCTTGCCACGGGGACACTCACACATACACCACGTCAAGCATGCTCGAAAACTGGCGAAGTCCTTTCCACAGATACTCACACTACACCACGCCAAGCATCGCATGTGCTCGAAAACTGGCTAAAAGTCCTTTCCACGAAGACACTCACACATACACCGCGTCAAGCATCGGATGTGCTCAAAAACTGGCTTGCAGCGTAATTTGTTTTCCCACCCTGCCATACCAGACCAGAAAATACTCAACACCCTGCCATTTCTAGGGTACGGCGCGGCAGCCACACTGCAGTGGCAGTGTGACTTTGACCTGGATTTGACAGGGTGGCCCAAAACGAATCAAGACCCCTGCCCACACCCCGAAGCTTCCATTCCAATTGAAACAGATCAGTGCGCTGCGTTTCTTTGTTCGGTTGAATATGGCTCATCTCGGTTCCTGGGAGCGCCGCTGGTAAAGAGCAGTGGCTGATTGGCTAGGTTGCCGCCGAACCACGTTTCAGCCCTGGGAATTGTCCAGCAGAGCCACCAACACAAGTCAAACTTTTGGTCGGGGTGTCTCGTGGGCGTGGCAAGCAAGCATCTCGTCCTGGAAGTTCATTTCATTTCCCCATTCCCTGTGCTTGAGCAACATTTTTCTTGACTCTAGGCATGTATGCCTGATGTAGGTCTTACGCCTTCGGTAACTTGCTCTACTTAGGTAGACCAGCTTAGCAGTGGAATTGTGTTTTTTGCATCATGAAACGTGAAAGGCGGAAATATAACATCGATCGCTTCTGACAGTCGCGCTGCTGCGTGTGCTCATGCACGTTCGCCTAATTTCGAGATTAGTTACTCAGAGCGCATGTCTCCCCCACAGCCCGACCCTGTCAGTAACTCGAAGCCCCGCCAAAACCGCACAATGTCGGCGCCTCGTCACAACGACGTCGCGCGACGGTCACTGAGACGAAGCGCCAGCAGCAGCAGTACCAACCGCTCTTTCCTGGTAGCTGGCGGATCGAACACGAAACATGAGCGGAGGGAATCCGGCCATGATGTTCAAATTTCGAGTAGTCAAATGGGAAGGAGCGCTGCAAAGGTAAGTGGTTCTGCTACGACTCACAGCCGGACCCGTAGCGTCGACCTAAGCGTTGTTTTGTGCAGGCCTATAACGGAGACAGAAGCGGCGAAGCGCTGGGTTGGAGCTTCAGTGAATAGAGTATCATCCGGTGCAGCAGGATTAGATGGAGCTCTCACGACTGTTGATGCGGCAGCCATGATGGACGATCATAATTTGTCGCGGCCCGAAGCGGACCATTGGCGAAAAAACCCAAACGCGTGGATGGAGTTCAAGAAGGGTGAATTCAAAACGTCTCCTTACAACGAGGATGATTTCAGTGAGGTTTTGTCGCCTTCTGGAAATGACATAAGGGTCGATCCCGTGTCAAGACAGGCTAGTTCAGGCTCACGTCCTGGCCCTAACCCTAACATGTACCTGCGGGCAAACTCGTTCAATCATTCCGGAACTTCGTCGTCGCCCTCAAGCTCTTATCCCCCTCCCGCCTCTCTCTTTTCCCGCGCCAGCACCACCGGTACGCACGAAAGGTCCCCGCTCCTGACTTCTGAGTCGATTCAAAAGTCGCCCTCAGGCTCGTATCCTCCTCCCGCGTCTCTCTTTTCCCGTTCCAGCACCACTGGTACGCACGAAAGGTCCTCTCTCCCTTCTCCCAGACCCCCCCTCCCCTCCCACACGCCCACAGGCTCGTCCCTGTCGCAGTTTTCTAGGTTTGGCCGCTCGCAGTCTGTGACACCTACTGCTGCTGCGGCTACCGCTGCTGCTCTTGCTGCTCCTACTCCTGCTGGTGATGGCGCTGGTGCCGGCGTTGGTGCTGGTAGCTTGCACCAGCAGCAGTTTCCGCCGCCGCAGCAACCGAAGCAGCAGCAACAGCTTCAGTACAGCCCTCGAGAATCTGCGAGCGCGAGCGGGAGCAGTCTCCCTGGTAGTTCAAGCTCCGTGCACAGGTGCAGTCAGAGCAGCGCGCAGGACTCAAGCCAGGGCTCGAAATACGTGACACAACAGACGCAACAACAGCAGCAGCAACAGCAACAGCAATCTACAGAGCAGCAGCGGCGTGAGGATAGCTTCCGTCAGTATGGGAGTGAGAGTGAGAGCAAGCGGTCAGTGAAGGGTGCAGGTCACAGGCGCAGTCAGAGCAGTGCCTATGCCACAAGCCAGGCCTCGAATATCGCTCCAAGTCGGCAGCAGCAGCAGCAAGATTTGAGGCGACAGAGAATGCAACAGGATGGAACTAACAGGGAGGGTGTGAGTGAGAGCAGTCAACCGGCAGAGAGTGCAAGGCACAGGCGCAGTCAGAGCAGTGCTCATGCTGTCAGGCGCAGCTTGGATGAGTCGCCTAGGCCGCAGCCACAGAAGCAGCAGCAGCAGCAGCAGCAGCAGCAGCAGCAGCAGCAGCAGCAGCAGCAGCAGCAGCAGCAGCAGCAGCAGCAGCAGCAGCAGCAGCAGCAGCAGCAGCAGCAGCAGCAGCAGCAGCAGCAGTGTTCGAGACAGCAGAAAATGCAGCAGGATGGTATTGTGAGCGAGAGTGCGAGCGAGAGCCGCCAGCGGGAAGACAATGCAAGGCACAGGCGCAGTCAGAGCAGCGCTCATGCCGTCCGGCGTTCTTTGGATGAGTCGCCTAGGCCTCAGCCCCAGCAGCAGCCGCATTTGGAGCAATGGCAGCAGCAGCAGCAGCAGCAGCAGCAAGTGGAGCAGCAACGTGGGACCTGGACAGAGAGCGAGAGCAGTGAGTCAATACAGCGTGCAGGTCACAGGCGCAGTCAGAGCAGTGCTCTTGCCGTCAGTGGTCGGAGCTCTATTCACTCAGTGGGGCAGCAGCAACAACAGAAGCAACAGCAGGAGAATCCGCCTGAACAGCTATATCATGATCAGCAGCATCAGCAGCAATGGGGGAGTTGGAAGGAGAGGTCTACGCAGTGGGAGGGAACAAGCGGGCAGGGCCAGGGGAGAGAGGCAAGCAAGAAGCGGGCAGTGCTGGTAGAGCAGCCGGGAGGGCAGCCGGGACTGGCTCATTCTGAGACGCCTCAACAGCAGCCGCGGCTGATGCTGCTCCCTGAAGCACCGGCATTAGCTTCCGATGGGAGAACGGAGGGGGTGAGTGCGGTTCGAAGCGGTCATTCGAGTAGGTTAAGTGGGCCTGAACTGGCGAAGCAGCAATGGGAAGAGGGGGTTGAGGCTAAACGGGCAAGGTCAACCAGAGCAAGCATTGAGCATCCTCTGATCCCTCTGTCTCAAGCAGGGGTTCAACCAGGAAATGGGCTCGTTTCAGGGGCTGGGCGGCTGACTGACAGACTGTTGACTGACTCTGCTAACGTCCTGACGGATTCTGACAGAGGCTTAGGTGGCACTGACCGGCTGATGACTGGTGGTGGAGCTGTAGCAGCTGAGTGGCATGGGGGTGAGCTGGTAGGTGTTGGCAGAGAGAGGAGTGGTGATGGCATGAAGAGGAATGGCGATGGCATGGTTATGTCAGTAGCGCACGGCAGGGCTACGGTGGTGAATGGCGGGGCTATGGAGGTAGATGGTGAGCTGGACGAGACGCAGGGTGGGCATTTATTCACTGCTGCTCAGGTTGTTGAGGGTCCAGAGGGGTGGGAGGAAGAGTTGAGAGAGCCAGCAGGAGAGACAGCAGGAGAAGCAGCAGGAATGGCAGCAGGAGAGCAAGCAGCGGTGGCTTTTGAGTCGACTCAGAGGGCACAGGGTGGGCGTGTATTGGCTGCTCAAATGGAGAGTGGGTGGGGTTTAGAGAAAGAGTTGAGAGTAGACGCACCAGATGCAGCAGGAGGGATTGAATGGGACCAACTGTCCCCTGATGATGCTGCTGTTCCCATGGCCACGCCTGTGTATGGATCCGTGGAGAACAACCAATGGAGGGAGGGGAACAGAGGTGACTGCGAGAGAAGTGATAGTGACGAGGGCTCTGTTGTCGTGGCGGATGTTGTGGAGTTGGAGGGTGGTGAAGTGGGAGGTTTGGCGTTTGCAGGTAGGGAGGATGGGAGGGAAGAGGGATGGGAGGAGGAAGCGTTGGAGGAGGAGGAGGGGGAAAGGGGAGAGGAGGAATCAGAGGAGGAGGAGGAGGAGGAGGAGGAGGAGGAGGAGGAGGAGGAGGAGGAGGAGGAGGAGGAGGAGGAGGAGGAGGAGGAGGAGGAGGAGGAGGAGGAGGAGGAAGAGGGGGAGGGAGCGGAGGAGGAAGAGGAGGAGGCGAAGTCAGTCCGGCAAGGTGGCTGGGGAGTGGATGTGGGGTTGCGGGAGGGAGTGCAGGATGAGGAAAAGCAGGATGAGGAAAAGCAGGATGAGGAGGAAGAGGAGGAAGAGGGGGTGGAAGAAAAAGAGGAGGAGGATAAGGGTTATAGTTTGGACGAACAGGTCAAGTTTGAGGAGGAGGAGGAGAGAGTGGGGGTAGATTATTGGGATGAGGTGGTGGAGATGGACGAGGAGAAAGAGGAAGAGGAGGAGGCCTTCAGCCGGGCCACTGTAACAGATGAAGAGGCAGCTGCTATCACAGCTGTTGAGGCGGTTACCATGACGGATGATGAGGCGGTTACCGTAACGGTCGATGATCTGGTTACCGTAACAGCTAACAAGCTGGTCGTTGACTTGTCTGATGGTGATGATGAGGATGATGATGAGAAGGAGGACATGATAGAGGAGCTCCAAGCAGGGAGCCTGGAGGATGGGGGGATGGGGGGGAACCCAAACACAAGCAAGGGGAGTGAGATCAAGAGCAAGAGCAGTGGAATGAGGAGTAAGAGCAGTGGGAGTCTGTTTCGCGGGCTGAGGAGCAGAAGCAAGTCGTTACTAGGAGGAAGCAAGGCAGGAGCTCGGCATGGGACGACAGGCAGTCAGGAGCAATATGGGTCCACAGAAGCAGAGGCAGATACGTTGGTACAGCAGCAGGATGATAGAGGTACACCTGATGGTGTTGTGGGCGACCCTTCTTCCTTGGCTGCTCCTCCCGCATTCCCAGCCACGCTCTCTGTCAACACTGCTGCCAGTAGACGCACCATGAGCAGCAGCAGCAGCACTATCAGTAGCAGCAGCAGCAGCACTATCAGTAGCAGCAGCAGCAGCACTATCAGTAGCAGTAGCAGCGGCGGTATGGCAGGGCTGCGAGCCCGCTCTTTTGCTGCAGTGGGGAACGTCAGAAGCGGTATCTCCTCTGCAGCCACCAAAGCAGCGATAAAAGCAGCGACTGGGATCAGCTCAGGAGCGCGTAACGTCTCTGCGGTTACCAGCCTCCCCGGCGCTGCTGCTAGGAACGTGGCTGCTGCAGCAGGGGAGGTGGGGCAGGGGGCGAGGAGCCTTGCTGCGGTGGCAGCAGGGGGTGTGGCTACTGGTGCGGTGGCTGTTGCTGGGGGGATCAAGGGAGGGGCTAGGAACGTTGCAGGGGGGATTAAGGGCGGAGTGAGGACAGTGGCAGGGGGGGTGAGAGATGGGGCGTTGACGGTTGCAGGAGGGGTGAAAGGAGGGGCTATGACTGTTGCTGGAGGGGTGAAAGGAGGGGCTATGACTGTTGCTGGAGGGGTGAAAGGAGGGGCTATGACTGTTGCTGGAGGGGTGAAAGGAGGGGCTATGACTGTTGCTGGAGGGGTGAAAGAGGGAGCCTTGACAGTGGCAGGAGGTGTAAAAGAGGGAGCTCTAACAGTGGCAGGGGGAGTGAAAGGGGGGGCTTTAACAGTGGCAGGTGGTGTGAAAGAGGGTGCTTTAACAGTGGCAGGGGGTGTGAAAGAGGGTGCTTTAACAGTGGCAGGGGGTGTGAAAGAGGGTGCTTTGACAGTGGCAGGGGGTGTGAGCGGGGGTGCGCTGACAGTAGCAGGAGGGGCACAGAGCGTAGCATTTGCAGCAGCGGGAGGAATCAAGGAGGGTGCAAGGAGCGTGGCAGGCACTGCAGCAGCAGCAGCAGCGGTGGCAGCAGGGGGGATCAAAGAGGTGGCATCTGAGATCAAGCATTTGGCAGAAGAGGTGGCAGCTGGGCAGGGTGGGTCAGGCTCTGGCCGGATGCAACGGGTGCATAATGTTGCGGACAGAGAGGGGGAGGAGGGTGAGGACTGCGACGAGAGAGGGTTACAGAGTAACGGCTTGGGTAAGAGCAGGAGCAGAGATGGGGCCACGAGCGCCGTTCGAACCAGCCCTGGTTCCTTTACAGGCAGATCCGTTACAAGGAGTAAGACCCACGACAGCCGAATCATCAGCAACAGCAACTCCAGCCCTGTGGTGCCCGCCAGCCTTGGTAGGAGGAGCAGGAGTGGGAAGGAGAGGGATGCTCCTGGCACCTTCACGGAAGGTTCCTTGGACTTCTTCCTGGAAGATTCCTTTGATTCTGACTCCCTGCCAAGGTGGTCCTTCGATGCAGCTTCCTTCCACTCCAGCCCAGCCCATACAGACCCTTTCAATCCCGACTTTTTTGCAGTAGCTTACTCAGGCGAACTCGGTGCTAGTAGTACTAGTACCAAATCACTCCCTAGAGGGGATACCAGCAGAGGAGATTCACTCCAACGTAAGGAGCCTCGAACCAGCCTGCTGAGAGGGATCGGTGCTAAGATGGCTAGAAGCGAAACTGCGACAGCTGCCCTAACTGCACCAGGTCAGTTAGCCCCCTCGACTGTGAAGCCAAACATGCTCGCTCCAAGTGCCACTGCAGTAGCCACAACCTCTGGTGAGCCTCATTCTGGTTCCATTCTTGCTTCTCAACCGCACTCAACCGCTTGTTCAGTCGCTCAAGAGGACTGCACCGCAGCAGCAGTTAGGGTGCTGCCCAGCAGCCGAACCACTGGCGGAGTGAGCAGCAGCAGCGATGCCGGGGGAAGAGGGAGTTTGAATCACCAGGGCAGTGCAAGCTTCCAGCATGGCCCCAAGGGGCATTCCAGAAATTTGTCTGAGGAAATGCCGTTCCTCAGGGTGACTAGCCTTGCCGCTCTTTCCCCTGAAGATGCCGTGTTGGCATTGTGGGAGGAGGAGGGGGAGTGTGAGGAAGGGGGGGAGGGCAAGAGAGGGATAAGAAGCTCCCACTCCCGCCGTTTCCATGCCTCCGGCCTTGCCATTGCCGGGGCTGCTGCCGCAGCTGCGGCAGGGGTCCGGTCCGGAGCTAAGAACGTAGCTTCGGGAGCGATGAATGTGAGGCAGGGGATTAAGGGAGGGGCAAGGAACGTGGCGTCGGCAGCAGCAGCAGCTGCGTCAGGAATAGGGTCGAGAGTAGAGAGTGTGGGTGGGAGTGGTGCATTGCGGGGTGCGAGTGTGGGCAGCAGATGCTGCAGGCAGGCTCCTAGGACGGAGACGTTTGGGCACAACGCGTCGTTCGTTGACAGGTTTGTTGCTGGGTTGGACGAGAGTGGGGTGGGTGTGGAGGGAGAGAGCGGACGGGATTTAGGCAGAGAGGAATGGGAGGTTGGAAGCAGTGATGACGGATGGGGAGGAATGGAGGAGGGATTTGGAGAGGAGGATGAGGAGTGGGAGTTGGCGGAGGAGGGTGAAGAAGGGAAGAGGGAGGGTGAGGGGTTGGAGGAGGAAGGAGGACGGTCGGAGGGGTTGGAGGGGGAGGGTGTGTTTAAGATCTCTCAGAAACACGAGGGGCAGCACGAGGGGCAGCAGGAGGGGCAGCACGAGGGGCAGCACCAGACGCAGCACCAGAGGCAGCACAGGGGACGAATCTCACGAGCATTTTCCAGCAATGCTGTTTCGGTGCTTGCCGTTCCCGGCAGCAGTATGGGTGAGGAGGAGGAAGAGGTTAGTGCTCCCGGAAGTGCAGCCATGCGACGCTCAGTGAGCAGCAGCAGCGGTAACGCGGTAACCAGCCTTGTTGTCGTAACCAGCGAGAACGCGATAACTGATAGTGCTGCAGCTACCAGCGCTGCTGCTTTTACCAGCAAAGCAGCGGAGGGGCAGCACAGCCGGCGGGCTTTGCCGGCCTACCAGGTGCCCTTGTCCCTCCGCATCCGAGCAGCCTTGGAGCAACGCACTCTAGAGGGCGGGGGTGAGGGAGTGCTGGCAGCGGCATTGCATGTATCTACATCTGTGGGTGGCGAATCTAGGCTTGTTGCCAGGTCAGCCTCCTTTACAGGGGGAGCAGCATGGTCGGAGAGTCCAGCTGGCAGTGCCACGTCAGCGTCGCTGGATAGTGTTCCGGATTCCCTCTCCCCGCAGCAGAAGAGTCCGCAGATGCTGCAAAGGGCTAAGTCCGAGGGTAGGAACTCTGCTGCTGGTTCGGCTTCGTACTCCTTACTGCATGCTTCACAGTTGCGTTTTGCATCCCAAACCGGTCGCAGTGGATACAGTTCAAGCGGTCGCTCTAGTTCACGGAAGCGACTGCATGAAATGTTTCAGGAGCAGCAGCAGCAGCAGCAGCAGCAGCAACAGCAGGAGCAAGAGCAGCAGCAGCAGCAGCAGAAGCAAAGGTGGCTGTCGAGTCGTGGGTTGGGCAGGAGAGGGCAGTACTTGAGGCAATGGGCCTCAGCGGGATGCCCCTCTCCCTTGGACGCTGCTGCAGATGCTGCCCTAGCTGCTGCCTCAGGTGCCCGCTCAGGTGCCTCTTCAGGTGACTATTCAGTCGCGGCCTTAGGAGCCGTCTCAGGTGCTGCGTCAGCAACCTCCTCTCCCCTGCGCTCCTCATTCACTGCACAGCCACGTGGCAGCTCTCCAGCAGCCTATCTTCCACGTGGCAGCCTCTCAATGGTGCACCGTTTCGTCTTTGTAGATCCCCCAGCCAGTAGCATTCGCCCTGCTGCCACCACTGCCAGCAGCAGCAACACCCGTTATCCTCGTAACCCTAGTAACCTAAGTAACTTTAGTAACACTAATTACCTCAGTAACTTCAGTAACCCTAGTAACCCGAATAACCCCAACTACTTGAAGCGGATTGGCAGCGCCACGCGTAGCGGATTCTCTAGCAGAAGCAACTCAAGTCGGTTCCGCGAGAGCAAGCCTTCCCAGCTCCTCCGCAAGAGCAAGAGCAGCAGCAGCAGCAGTGACTGGAGGAGTGATGTTAGCGCGCACGATATCAGCACGACAAAGGATGATGCTCCTCCTCTCCATCGCTCCAAGTCCTCTGGGGCGTCACTGGACAGGGCCACAGGTAGCAGGGATTCCGTGTTTCAGCAGGTTGTTTTTGAGAATTCTCAAAAACACCCCACAGGTAGCGGGGATTCCGTGTTTCAGCAGCAGACCCAGCACAAGGAGCAGAAGGCGCAGGAGCAGCAGGAGGCGCAGGAGCAGCAGGTGCAGCAGGTGCAGCCAGTGAAGCCGAAACTGCAAAAGCTGAGCTCCCGCTCCAACCGTGACTCAATTGTTTTGCAGAAGGAGCAGGAGCAGCAGGAGCAGCAGGAGGCACAGGAGCAGCAGGCACAGGAGGAGCAGTTGCAGCACGTGCAGCAGTTACAGCCGATGAAGCCGACACTGCAGAAGCTCAGCTCGCGCTCCAACCGTGACTCAACTCTCGTGCCTCACTGCTCCCCTCGCTCCTCTTCCCTCCCTGCCGAACCCTCCACATCCTCCCTCTCCTCTTCGTCCTCCTCTCTCCCCTCCTCTCTCCTCTCCTCTCTCTCGTCCTCGCAGCGACATGCAGTTGATCTCACCACCTCCTTCCCTCAGTTCAAGCGAGAGATTGCCCGCATCCGCTGCTTGTCATCCCTCAAATCCGCTGCTGTGTCTGCTGCGTCTGCTGCTTCTGCTTCTTCTGCTTCTGCTGCGTCTGTGTCTCTGAGTGGTAAGAAGCACCACAAGGAGCGGTGGCAGGAGTGGGCCGAGCAAGTGACGGGAAAGAAGCTCCTGTCACGACAGCTGAACGAGCAGCAGCAGGAGAAGCCGCGGAGTTGTGATGAAAATCTAACGGATCAGCAGTCATATCAGCAGAAGGATTGGGAGCAGGATCAGCAACCGGTGCAGCAGCAGGTGCAGCAGCAGGTGCAGCAGCAGGTGCAGCAGCAGGTGCAGCAGCAGGTGCAGCAGCAGGTGCAGCAGCAGGTGCAGCAGCAGGTGCGGCATCAGGTGCAGCAGCAGGTGCAGCAGCAGGTGCGGCAGCAGGTGCGGCACTTACAAGGCAAGCCACCGAGACCGGGGCTTCACAGCAGCGCGAGTGCACAGTCTCTCAACAGGCTTCATCCAAAGGCGCCCTTTGAAGCGCCTGGTAAGTCTCGTCTCGGTTCGAGGTCCCTCAGGAGCAGTGTGAGTGCGCAATCCACTCTCAACAGGAGCCACCCAGATTTCCCTCCTCACTTCCCCTCGCCTGGGACCCCCTCAGATGCCTCAGGTGAGTTTCCAGGTGCTTCTCCAGGTGATTCGCCAGGTGCTTTTTCTCAGGTGCGTCCGCAGGTGCTTCCCCAGGTGTTCCAGTTTCTCTTTGAGCCACACTTATCACCGGAACCCTCGCTGCCTGCTCGTGCGAACCTGCTTCTTACAAAATGCGCTGAGCTGTCAAGGTTTGAGCGTAGAGAGCTGTCAATCAGAGGGTTCATTCTGAGGCCGGAGGGAAGGGTGAGTGTGAGAAAGGAGGAGAGGAAGGTGGGTGTGGAAGAGAGAGAGCGGGACGGGGATGAAGAGGGGGAGAAGGGGGTTGAGGAGGGGAGGATGGCGGAGGTGAACGAATGCGGTGCAGAGGGGTTGGGAGCGGGAGAGGGCGGTGGTGGGGAGATGGAGAGGAGTAAGCTGGTGTGGGAGAAGCTAGAGCAGCAGCTGGAGGTGCAGAGGGAGGAGGAGGAGAGGCGAGAGGGGTTATTAGAGCAGCAGCGTGCAGAGGGCAGCAATGAGCAGTCAGGAAGCAGAGAGGAGCGAGCAGAGAGCAGGGAGCAGAACGGTGCTGCTGCTGGCGGTGTGGAGGTGGTTGGGGGCAGAGCAGACCAGGGTGATGAGGTGGATGGGCGTGGTGCTGTGGGGTTGAATCCGGTGCTGATGCCGGCCAAACCGCCGCGCATGCTCTCCCGGCTAAATGCCACCCGACGCCGCCCGTCTGAAGACAACAGCTTCGACAGCAAGAGTGTGGGAAGTAAAGGAGGAGAGGAGGAGGAGGAGGAGGGTGACAGGACGAGTGATCAAGGCGGCTTGGAGGGTGATGGAGATGAGGAGGAGGAAGGGGAGGAAGAAGGGAAGAAGGAGGGTGAGGTTCTATCACCAAGGGAAGAGGCCATGATGCTGCTGTGGGTGATTCCCGGGTTAGGGGGCGAGGAGGAGGAGGAGAGGAGGAAGGTGAGAATACGGCAAGCCCTGGCAGCGGCAGCAGGCGGGATCGCCAGTGGGGCTTTAACTGTGGCAGGGGGGATCAAGGGTGGGGCGATGAATGTCAGGGAGGGGATCAAAGAAGGGGCGTTGAATGTAAAGGAGGGGATTAAGGGAGGGGCGATGAATGTTAAAGAGGGGATTAAAGAAAAGGCGATGAATGTTAAGGAAGGTATTAAAGAAGGGGCGCAGAGTGTTAGGGAGGGGATTAAGGAAGGGGCGTTCAGCGTAAAAGAAGGGATTAAGGGAGGCGCGTCAACTGTCAAAGAGGGGATTAAGGAAAAGGCGATCAATGTGAAGGAGGGGATTAAGGAAGGGGCGTTGAATGTGAAGGAGGGGATCAGGGGAGGGGCGAGGAGTGTTGCATCTGTGGCAGGGGCAGCGGCAGCAGCAGCATCGGGGATAGCCTCTGGTGAGTCTAGGCGGACCCACAGCATGGGCCAACTACCCCGACGTGTGACGAAGAGTGGTGATGATTCTAACTGGGGGTGGGACGTTGAGGGAGGAGGGAGAGGAGAGGTAGTAGTAGAGGCGGGAGGAGGAGGGGGAGGAGGTGGAAAGGGAGGGAACAGGTTTATGCAAACACTGGGTAAGGTGAGAGGAACTGTTCTGGGTCTGAGCAGCAAGGGCCTTCAGCGAAGGGAGACCTTTAGGGCAACTAGCCCTATTTCTCCCGGGTTCTTTCACAATCCGCCCAGTATTTTCCATTGGAAGTCAGCGCCTGCCGAAGAGACAGTGCTTGTTCCCATGGGCAGTGAGGAGGGGAGAGTGGTGAGAAGCAAGAGTGAGGAGCACAAGGGAGTGAGGGAGGCTGGATTGGCTCCAGGGGTGGGGTCAAGGGAGGCTGGGGGATCTCGTTCTGGTGACCTGGGGAGTTCTTATTCAGGGGAGGTGGGAGCTGACCCTGGGCCTGGGGCGCTTCAAAGCCTGGGGAGGTCCTATCTGGGGGAGGTGGAGATTGGCGCTGTTGGGTTTGCAAAGGTGGTACGGAGATACGACGATGATGATGAGGAGGATGAGAGTCAGAGTGTCACTAACGAGGATGACGATAACAAGGATGGCAATAACGAGGATGGCAGTAACGAGGCCTTCTGGTGGGGGGATTACGAGGAAGAGGAGCAGCTGATGCGTGATGATTCAGATGAAGATTCAGGTGACACTTCAGGTGAATGTTCACGGAACCCAGTTGTGCTTGGTGGTTTGGAGGAAGGCGAGGTTATTGGTGGACGTGTGGTAAAAGGAGGGGCATTAGAACTGGGAAACGTGTGGGATGAGGGAGGAGGATTGGGAGAGGGAGGAGGATTAGGAGAGGGAGGAGAATCGGATGAGGGAGAGGGGTTAGGGAAGGGGCTGGAAGGGGGAGGAGGACAGGGAAGGGTAGTTGCTGGATGGGGTGCTCTGAAGAAGCTTGATAGTAGGCGGCGCGATCGACGGTCGAGATCATCGTTTGGTTCTGATCTTCCGTCAGTGGATGAAGAGGAGATGGATGTGGAAGGGGGTTTGAGTGAGGAGGGGAAAGAGAGAGAGGAGGGGAGAGGGAGGGAGGAAAGAGAGGAGGGGAGAGGGGGGGGAGGGGAGAGAGGAGGAGGAGGGGAGAGACGAGGGGGAGGAGAGTGAAGGGGAGGAGAGTGAAGGGGAGGAGAGGAGAGTGGTGGATTGGGGGATAGATGGAGAAGAGGGGAGCGAGGCCGAGGAAGAAAGAGAGGCGGAGGAGAAAACAGGGATGAAGGAAGGATTTCTGGAGGAGATGGAGAGTGAAGGGGAGGAGGAGGAGGTTAGGAGTGAAAGGGAGGAGGAGGAGGTTAGGAGTGAAGGGGAGGAGGAGGAGGTTAGGAGTGAAGGGGAGGAGGAGGAGGTTAGGAGTGAAGGGGAGGAGCAGCAGAGTGAGGCGGGGGAGGGAAGCTGCTTTGGGGATGCAGGAATGGGGCAGGTTGCGAGAGAGGCAGAGGAGGGTACAAAGGTGGATGAGGAGAGAGCGGTGGAAGGGGAAAGCGAGGAGGGAGGAGGAGAGGCTGAGGCGAAAACAGGAATGAAGGAAGGAGAGGAGGAGGAGATGGGGAGTGAAGCGGAGGAGGAGGAGACTAGAAGTGAGGCGGGGGAGGGAAGCTGCTTTGGGGAGGTGGAGATTGTTCCGGAAGCCAGAGAGGTAGTGGAGGGTGCAAAGGTGGATGAGAAAAGAGAGGTGGAAGGAGAAAGGGAGGTGGAGGAACGAGAGTTGGAAGGGGAAAGAGAGGTGGAAGGGGAAAGAGAGGTGGAAGGGGAAAGCGAGGTGGAAGGGGAAAGAGAGGTGGAAGGGGAAAGAGAGGTGGAAGGGGAAAGAGAGGTGGAAGGGGAAAGAGAGGTGGAAGGGGAAAGAGAGGTGGAAGGGGGAAGAGAGGTGGAGGAACGAGAGATGGAAGGGGAAAGGGAGGTGGAGGAACAAGGAGAGGCTATGGAGCGAACAGGGATGGAGGGAGGAAAGGGTGAAGAAGAAGTTGAGCGTGAAAGAGTGGAGGAGGAGAGAGAGGAGGAGAAAGAGGAGGAAGAGGAGGAAGACAAGGAAAAAGAGGAGAAAGAGGAGAACAGTAATCGCGTCAGGGAAGTGGAATTGGAGGAGGAAGGAGGAGAGAGTCTGGAGGGTACACAGATGGAGGGGGGTCGAGAGGAGGGGGAGGAGGAGGAGAGTGAGGTGGGGAAGAGGCAAGGATTGGAAAATGGAGAAGAGATCGAAGAGAGTGAGAAGAGTGAGGAGGGAAGTCACAGGGACGAGCAAGATTTGGAGGAAGATGGGGAGAGTAGAGGCGAGGACGAGAGGGAGGGGGAGGAGGGAAGGGAGAGGAAGGAGGGCGTAGAGGCGAAGGAGGGAAAAAAAGAAGAGAGGATAGAAGGAGTGGTGGAGATGGGTGCAATGGTGAAGGAGGGGGTAGATGGGAGGGCAGAGGCCACAGCGGAATTAATAGGCGCTGCAGAACGATTAGAAATGGCAGTAGCGGCAGAAGTGGCAGAAGGAGCAGTAGTGGCAGAAGGAGCAGTAGTTGCAGAAACAGCAGTAGTTGCAGAAGAAGGAGCATTAGTGGCAGAGACAGGTGAAGCAGCAGTAGTGGCAGAGGCAGGCGAAGCAGCAGAGTTGGTTGGCGGAGGAAGGGAGTCAGTGGCTGAAACAGTTGTATCTGCTGAGCCATCGCTGCCAGCTGTAGTGGCCACTGCTGTTGCTGCCTCAGACGTACCTACCTCAGACGTACCTGCCTCAGCCGTACCTGCCTCAGATGTACCTACCTCAGATGTACCTGCCTCAGATGTACCTGCCTCAGATGTACCTGCCTCAGATGTACCTACCTCAGACGTACCTGCCTCAGTCGTACCTGCCTCAGATGTACCTGCCTCAGATGTACCTGCCTCAGATGTACCTGCCTCAGATGTACCTTCCTCAGATGTACCTTCCTCAAGCTCCACAGGAACAGATACCCCGTCCATCCGCCGAATCGGGTCGGCAGCGGCGGCAGCGGTGGCAGCAGGAGACGTGGTGATAAGCAAGAGTGCGGCCGGTGCTGCTGTGCTGCTTCAAGCAGCCCAACCTCTCTTTGAGCGGACTGAGGAGCTGTCAGGGAGGCGAGGAGCAGCAGATGGAGCAGCAGAAGTGGAAGCAGAAGCAGAAGCAGCTGCTGCTGCAGCAGCAGCAACAGCTACAGCAACAACTACAGAGGAAGAAGGGAGTGCGGGGCATGGGAGTGTGGAGGACAAGCGGATTGGTGAAGGGAAGAAGGGTAAGGTCAAGGCAAAAGGAGGCGAGAAGAAGGCGTTGCTCAAGTCACCTTCCAGGAAGATTCATCGGCGGGAGTCCCGGGATGGGGAGACGAGTGGGGATGATGTGGTGAAGAGCGGTCGGGTGAGGCGAAGCAAGAGTAGATTGAAGAAGGGAGAAGGGGAAGCGGGTGAGGAGCGGCAGGACGCAGGGGGAGACAGTGAGGGGGGAAGTAGGGTCAGACAGAGTTTGAAAAAGGGGAATAAGATTCGCAGCAAAGAGGATCACAAGGGGCAGCAGCAGCAAGGGGGGAAGCAAGAGGAAGAGAAGGAGAAAAAGAAGGAGCAGGAGCAGCAGGAGCAGCCGCCGCAGGAGCTGCTAGCAAACGTGACAATCCGTCATATGCTGCCCACAGGGGAGCTCGCAACCACGCCTCAGCGCCTCTCCATCCCTGCTGCACCCCTCTCCCCCACCACTCTCACCAGCCCCACCAGCGGCACCAGCACACCCCACAGCAACGCCTCCTCTCCCGCCTCCCCTGCCGGTTCCTTCAGCTTCGCCCTGCTCTCCCCTGCCACTCCAAAGCAGCAACCTTCTGAACGGAGCACTGCTGCTGCTTCAGGCGCTGCCGCAAGTGCTGGTGCTGCTTCTGCTGCTGCTGGCGGTGACGTTGGTGGGAAGAAGGTGAGGAAGGGGAAGAAGAAAGCAGCTCGTCTGCCTGCGATCGGTGAGACGGAGGGCAGTGAGAGCGAGATGAAGGAGGGGAGTGGCGAGAAGAAGAGAACTACCAAGAAGCACCTGCATAGGGGAGCATCGGTTGCATCAGCAGCATCAGCAGCATCAGCAGCCTCTGCAGATTCTCGAGCATCTAAAGCATCGGTAGCATCAGCTGCAGCATCTGTAGGTTCTGTAGCTTCGGTGGCATCAGCAGCAGCATCAGTGGTTTCAGCAGAGTCGATTGTTTCGAGTGTGTCGAGCACATCGTCAGGTAAACCCCGAAAGTCACCCGGTAGCAAGTCACCAGTCAAACCATCCATCCCACACAGCCCATGCACCCCATGCACCCCAGTCACCCCAGTCACCCCATCTACTCATGAGCTACAAGTCTCACCCAGCAGGCAGTGGTCTGTGGATGATTCTAGTGGCACCCACAGCCCGCCTGTGCGGAGAATGATTCCCCAGAGCATGAGCGCTTCACATGCCACTTCTGCTGCTGCTGCCGCTGCCGCTGTAGCTGCCGTTGCTGCTGTTGAGCGCAGCAGCAGCAGCAGGCGGCAGTCAGTGGACGATTCTAGCCGCACTACAAGCCCTCCTGTGCGCAGAATGATTCCTCAAAGCATGAGTGCTTCGCATTTGACTGCTTCTCCTTCTGCCGCCGCGGCTGTTGCTGCTGTTGAGCGCAGCAGCAGCAGCAGCAGGCGGCAGTCAGTGGACGAGTTTAGCCGCAGCGGCACTACCAGCCCGAGTGTGCGGAGAATGATTCCTCAGAGCATGAGTGCATCGCACTCGACTGCTGCTGCCGCCGCCGCTGTTGCTGCTGTTGAGCGCAGCAGCAGCAGCAGCAGCAGCAGCAGGCGGCAATCAGTGGCCGATTTTAGCAGCAGTGGCACTCACAGCCCACCCGTGCGCAGAATGATTCCCCAGAGCATGAGTGCATCCCACTCAGGTCCGGTGGTCAGGTTTCTACTGCCAGGGGAGGTGCTTTCTGAGCCGCCCCGATCCCCGCCTACAGCCCATTCTAGCAGTAGCAGAGCTCCCAGCCCGCCTGCGCGCAGAATGATCCCCCAGAGCATGAGCGATTCACATGACTTCTATCTGCCAGGGGAGGTCCTTTCTGACCCGCCCCGATCCCCGCCTACCGCCCATTTTAGCCCTTCTCGGGTGCCCCCCCGGTCCCCGAATATGGCTCATCCGAGCCCAACCCAAAGCCCGCCTGTACGCAGAATGATCCCCCAGAGCATGAGCGCATCGCACGCCGTGTCCTGGCTCCCCCCTATGGCTCGATCTCCCACCAGCTCCCCCAACGCGTCTAGGCGGGTTTCTATGGATGATCCCAGTGGCAGGAGGGGGGCTGTGTCGCCACACAGACGGGTTTCTGTGGATGATTCTAGTGGCACTCTGAGTGGTGTGAGTGGGTCTGGACGAAGAATGATTCCTCAGAGCATGAGTGCTTCACATGCCTCTGCTGCTGCTGCTGCTGCCGCTGCTGCCGCTGCTGCTGCTGCTGCTGTTGGTGCTGTTGGTGCGGTTGGTGCTGTTGGTGCGGTTGGTGCTGTTGGTGCGGTTGGTGCGGTTGAGGGGAGCGATGGCAGGGGCAGCAGCAGAGGGGTATCGCCGGTTAAGAGCAGTGGTAGTAGAACCAGGAGTGTGTCTCCTGTTTACTTCAAGCGGCTGCGGTGGAAAGGGATTGGGAGGAGTGCAGGGAAGGAGGAGGAGGAGGAGGAGGAGGAGGAGGAGGAGGAGGAGGAGGAGGAGGAGGAGGAGGAGGAGGAGGAGGAGGAGGAGGAGGAGGAGGAGGAGGAGGAGGAGGAGGAGGAGGAGGAGGAGGAGGAGGAGGAGGAGGAGGAGGAGGGAAGGCGTGCGGGTGGAGGGGAAGGTGGGGAATGGAGGGAGGAGGAGGAGGTGGAGGAGGAGGAATTGGAGGAGGGGGGTGCTGCATCTGGCAAGAAGACGGGTGGTGCGTCGAAGAAGGGTGGTGAGTCGAAGAAGGGTGGTGAGTCGAACAAGGGTGGTGAGTCGAAGAAGGGTGGGTTTGGCAAGATTCTGAAGGGGCTTGATTCATCAATGGGGAAATTGATCAAGGCAGCTGGAGGGAAGAAGGGTAAAGACCATGGTTCCACCTCTCCTGCTCCTGCTGCTGCCCCTGCTGCTGCTTCTGCTGTTGGTGCTGTTTCTGCTGAGTCTGCCGGAGAAGCAGCAGGAAAGGCTAAGCGAACAATGAGCAAGAAGGGGAAAGAGGTGGGCAAGGGGAAGGGGGGAGGGATGGAGGCTAGAAGTGATGTGCTGGTGAAGAGTGGCAGTGTGGGCCAGGAGCAGCGAGAGGAGACGAGGATGGGAAGGACGATGAGTAAGGTGAAGAGAGGAGGGAAGGAAGATTGCGGGGAGAAGAGTCGAGATGTAAATTTAGGTGTAGTGGCAGGGAAAGGGGAAGAAAAAGAAAGGAAGGCAGGAAGGACGCTCAGTAAAGTGGAGAGAAAGGGGAAAGAAGGAAAGGATGGGGGAGAATCCGAGGGAGGGGATTATGAGAGGAAGGCGAGCAGAACACTGAGCAGGAAGAAGAGAGAAGGAAAGGGGGTAGAGGAGGATGACGAGGGGAAGGCGAGGATAGTGAAAGGAGAGGGGATGGAATCAGAGGACGATGGGGATAGGAAGATGAGGAGGACGATGAGTAAGAAGAAGAAAGGGGAAGAGGGGGAGAAGATGGAGAAAGGGGAAGAAGAGGATTCGGAGAGAAGAATGAGCAGGACAATGAGTAAGAAAAAGAGACGGGACGAGGGGGAGAAGATGGAGAAAAGGGAGGAGGACAGGGGAGAGAGCAAGCTGAAAAGGCCTTCAAGCAAGTCAAGGAGGGAGAAACTGGAGAAGGGAGGGGATTCAGGGGCAGAGGAGGAAGCAAGAGGGCATGGGGCTAAGGAAGAGAAGATGATGAATAGGACGCTGAGTAGGAAGCAGAGGGAGGGGAAAGATGCGCAGGAGAGAGGAGGAGGAGAAGGGAACGGAGATGATGAGAAGAAAGCGACCAGGACGCTCAGTAGAGTCAAGCGAGAGGAGAAAGGGGGGGAGGATTATGGCGAGAGGAAAGCAAGCAGGACGTTGAGTAAAGTGAAGAGAGGGGAGCAGGAAAGTGAAGGGGTTGAGGAGAAGAGGGCGGGTAGAACGTTAAGTAGAGTGAAGCGAGAGGAGAAGGAGGCTGAGGAGGTTGGGGAGAGGAAAGCAAGCAGGACGCTAAGCAAGGTGAAGAGAGGAGAGAAGGAGAGCGAGGAGGTTGAGGAGCAAAAGGCAAGCAGGACGTTAAGCAAAGTGAAGAGGGAAGGTGGGCACGGGGATGGGGGTGGGGGAGAGAAGAAGGCCAGTCGAACCCTAAGCAGGGTGAAGAGAGAAGGAAACGAAGCTGGAGGTGGTGATAGTGCAGACAGCAGCGCGCACAGAGCCACTCGCAGCAGCAGCCACGGGCACGAGTCCTCTCACAGGCGAGCCACCTCGCATGGGAGCATCACGGGGCGGGAGAGCTTTCACAGCCATGAGAGTTCGATGAGCTCTGGCAGCAAGGGGGGCAAGGAGAGTGAGAGAGGGGCGGTGGATGGGAGAAAGGCTGCTCGCACGGTGAGCAGACATAGGGATGATGGGGCAGAGAGGGGTGACGCAGGGAACGGGAAGTACGGCGGTGGAATTGGAGAAGAGGATCAAGAGGGGAGGCTTTCGAGGCCAAGAACAGCTGATAGTGGCGGAGTGGGTGGGGGATGGGTGCAGCTGGGTTTGCCAAAGCACGGAGTGGTAACGATGGGTCTGCAGGAGCAGCTGTCGCCTTTTGAGGCCCCGCCGACGCCTCAGAAACCGCCCGTTTCTCCGGTTTCGGGTGGCATCTGGAAGGCGATTTCGTCTTTTGCCACGTCGCCGCACGCCAGCTCATCGCATGCCATGTCAAGTGCCACGTCACCGCTGATGTCACCGTCTGCCACACCTCCTCTGGGTTCCCCCACCCGTGCCAAGTCACCCACATTGAAGTCACCCACGTTGAAGTCACCTAGGATGAAAATTCCCTTCATGGAGTCTGGTAAGGCTGGTAAGTTGGGCAAGAGCAAATCTGCAAAGGTTAGTCGGGACAAGGATGATCAGGCCAGAGAGAAAAAGGAGGAGAAGAAGAAAAAGGAGAAAGTGAAGGGCAAGGGAAAGGCGGGTGTTGAAGACGGTGAGAAAGCAAGGGCTAAAAGCCCAATGAAGGGTGTGTGATGTGAACCTTTTGTAGAATGGAGGTGGGGGCTGAGGGAGTAGCACTAATTAGAATATCCTTGACCTAGTTCAGTCATTGTAATTCTAGTCAGTATGCCTAATATGTATATATTATTATTCCTATGTAACCTACATGTTACGTCTCTCTTCAACTTTATCCGTACTTGCAACTGTGTCTTGCTTTTGAACTGTGTGAAAACGGAGAAGTTTCAATGGAATTACCGGGCAAAAGCCCCCCTCGATTTTGATTGGTTGTTATCCTGTGAGTATGAGGTCAACTCCTCGTCATCTGGCGATCGGTGAATTGTTTTCTGCGAATCGAAACCGTACACAGCCTCGCGAGCTCAGCCCGCCTAAACAATTGACGAATCACGAATGAATGACGAAGTCAAGGGACGATTGCCTGGACGTCATTCTCCTCCAGCGCCACCATGGCGCGTACCCCTGCTTCACCAGTACAGTACGACACGTCATAGTATGTAATTTGCGAATCGCTGTCGCAAAGCAGAAAACATGCAGTTCTCTTTCGTTAGTGAAATCGCCAATTGTCGTGGAGCTCGTAAGGTAATCCATCCCTGCCCAGAACTCCCACTCGCCATGGCGATTCCTCTCCCAACTTACTAATCTCTTGAATAAGGTAAACCAGGTCAATCACGGAGTAATTGGCGTACCTTCGGCTCGGCGGGAACTACCCCGTCTTCTGCATGAAGCCAAATGTAATTCTTCGTTCCTACTTAGACCACAGCTGGAAGCAAAAAAAGAAAAATCTTTGTTTTTGACACCCAGTAGGACGCGTAGTTTCCGCAATGGCCAGCATTCGTGCGTCTCCTCTCGTCGCAACCGTCCCCTTCCTCCCCCGCCGCTCCTCGCCTCCGCTGGCGGCACTACGCGTGGATTCCGCAGCAGCTTCCGCCATGCTCGCCCGTTTCACGTCCGCAAAACCGCAGCCGTCCGTTCCCGTTCCGTTGGCTTGCGGCAAATCTCGACCGTTTAGGCAACGCACACGGTCACGGAAATTCTCAAATTATGGACCGAATGATTATCGCACGAACAGACTAGAATTAGGTTATGGATATTGCAGGAGCAGCGACTTCGGCGGGTCCGGGACCAAGGGTCGGAGAGGCCTTCTGATCGTGACGGCGACAGCCGGCAACCGGTGGTTTCAGGGAGGTGGCGGCCGGCAGAACAACCGGTTTGGTGGCGGCGGGAGCGGCGGCGGGAGCGGAGAGGGGAGCATGGGGTGGACCTACCCTTGGGAGTCTGGTAAGTCGTAGCAAATTGTGAGAACGTCTTAAAAAGCTTGTTCGTTTGGTGCGTCGTGGCAACGCACCGCAGTGGTGGAATGACGTTATGACGTTTAGAGGAAATCATGCGTCGCCTTGCTACCACTGCGGTGACGTTTGCAACCTTGTCTACAACGCACCACAATGGGTAGAAAGGCCGCGCCCGATATAGTAGTAAAGTCCCACCCGTCCGACGGATCCTCGACTCCCTGTTCCCGTCCACCGCCAGACGCGCGCACGTCAACGTAGGAGGCTCGTCGGATGTTTGTGTCGACTAAAAAATGAATTCCCACCCTCATCCACCGTCAAACGCGCGCAATGTAACGTCTGCCGGCGGCTCACACGAAGGGTTGAAGGGCATCCGCCGCTGCGCCACGAATGAGCGCCCTCGTTTCCACCCAGTGGGTCGCTAGCGAGGCGTTATACGCACATCGCCATGCCAAGCCCGGCGTGAGATAGCCTCAGCTCAGCCTGACGAGTGTGTTGTCTCACTCCTCTTACCGCCTCTCACCTGTCTACCACGTCCATGATCCCCCGCCAGACGCCGCGCACGCATCGCCGTGGGAGGCGCGTCGGCGGAACATCACGTTTTTCACGTCCGAAGGGGTGTTTCAAATCCACGAGCTCGCTCATCAAGCTCCCACCCCTCTACGAATCCCCTTCACCCATCTACCACCAGACGCGGAAACATCACCGTGGGAGCCTCGTCGAAACAGCATCACGTTCTTCACCTCCGAAGGAGTGTTTCAGATCCACGAGGTCGCGCACGTGCCCGTCTCCGCTGCACCACCATCAGCCCTATCATCGTCAGTACCATCATCGGCAGCGGTGTCGCACCGCTTCTCGGAGCGGCGATACATGGATCCGCAGCAGGGCCTGTGCCTCGCGTCGCTCTTCGACATCCGCGCCTTCAACGTGAGTGCACGTGAGGGGATGCTGTTTTGTTCGTTGGATGGGGGAAGGAGGGGAAGTCAAGGGTGGACCATGGATCCGCAGCAGGGCGTTTTTAATGTGAGTGCACAATGCGTTTTGAATATGGGGTGGGGGAAGACGGGGGGAGGAAGTGGGCGAAGGGGGAAGTGAAGGGAGGAGGGCAACAACGACTGCATCTTCTTTCGTCTCCTCTCCGCTCCTATCCTCTCCTCCACTCCTTTCCACTCCTCTCCATCCCGCTCCACTCCTTTCCAATCCTCTCCACCTCGCGCCACTCCTCTCCACTCCTCCCCCCATATCCCCTACCCTCCTCCAGGGTCTTGATGCATCGCGTCTCTTCTGTGTGGTGGGCTTCTGCCGCTCGCCTGAGATGCTTTCTGACGTTGTAGCCGACACTGTTCTCATGGCTGGTGGGGAGGTGAGCAATTGCACATAGTGTAAATGCAGCATATATACATGTGATATGTGCGCATGGACACACAGACTCACACCCACACGCACGCACACACACACACACACACACACACACACACATGCAGAAGGAGCAGAAAGTGTGTCACGCCAGTGAACCCATTCCGTAGCTCTTTCTACTCATCTGCTGCCACGTGTCTTCAGGTGGTGGACTAAAAGCTGGAGATGGGGCAGGGCCTGCACGAGCATCTGCGCCTCACAGATGCTTTGTTAGACTAAGAACTCCATCCAATCCTGTGCTGCCACGTGTCTTCAGGTGGTGGACTCTAACCTGGAGATGGGGCAGGGTCTGCACGAGCACCTGCGCCTCACCGTCGCCCTTCCCTATCTATTCGGCGTGCCGCCCGCTTTGGACGCGCTCAACCGGGCTATCAGATTGGGCGGAGGGATTGTGGACAAGAGCTTCCACCGATGGGAGATGTGCCCGTAGCCGTGCTGCTACACAACTGTGCATCCTGTATATAAGTGTCCTATCCATTCTGTGGTTTCCTTAGTCAGCCTAGCTCGGCCAGCCCTTGTAGGCTTGGCCTTCAAGAGCCTATCCATCCATAAATGTATCTCATTGGTTGTATGGATGATACATTCGTCTGCTAAGATGGACCAGGTGAGGTATGTTAACCCCATGTACACATATGATTCGATGGATGTGTGCGGAACAAGCTTTGCTTATGTGTCTTTGAACCCACCCTCTACCATGAGCAGCTATATCTCCTGTGTTGGTATCTGACATACATATCCGTTCCGTTTACAGCCCCGATTTTCTGTTCCGTCATAACCATACCTCGTCCCACCGGCGCCTGCCTGTCAAGTGCAATTTGTGATGTGCTCATTCCGCCTCAATAGCAGTACCGTTAGCTAGCTGTACAATACACTAACTCGGCCAGCTCTTGCCGGTTCCGCACGCCTCGGTCCCAAAGGGATGGCACGGCGCATGCGAGCCGTTCCTCTTCTTCATTCATTGAGACATCTCAAAGCCAGATAGCTATTTACTGGGGCAGCACTTGCCGATTCCACATGCTCTGGTCCCAAAGGGGCAGCACGTGTACGAGCCGTTTCTCTTCTTCATGCACGCGCCCGCCTTGCAGCACATGGTTCCTCCGCAGCACGGGTACTCCACGTTGTCCTGCCACATCATCACGATTCAATGATGGGTGGACAGTCGTTCTAGTATTTTGTACTCCAACGGGAAAGATGAGGTATTTTCAGAAGTATAAAGATTGCAGTGCATAAAAACGCACTCAGAATCTTAATTTTACGGAATTGGTAAATTTTTTATCTGTATGTTAAAGTATTATTGGTTATTTATCTGCACTTACAATGCAACAGGCGCCAGAGCAGTAAATGGCAGGTTGACTGCATGTTGTGACACTCCTGTATGGGCAAACTCCAGCCCCTCTCGGGCATTGGACCTTCTTCACCGCTATTAGAGATCGTCGAATGCTGATAATTGCTGGTAAATCTCCGTTTTGCAGAGCCTGGGAAGCTGTAACTTGCGCCATTAGGACGATAAAGCAGACCAGCGCAAATGAGTGGATACAACGGAGACGGAACATGGCCATTGTGCTAGGAAGTAAATTCCTGGAGAATGTCACGTGAAATTGGGTAAAAACAGACGGATCAGCTACGGTTACTGAATGGCTCGAAGCAGGCTCTTGTTAATATCCGACTAAGTTTGAGAATGATTTGCGTTGAAGTTACCGACGAGCAAGATATGAAATGAGTCGAAATATGAGAGCACAGGATGAGCAAGAAATGAGGGTGGCTGGCCGGTCGGTATGCTCGCCTCGCCATGTGCATTGCAGCTGCTTCCGTCCGCACCGCAATCTCCAGTGCACGGACCGCGATTTCTTTCAGCTGATGGCGACCCGACCCGGAGATTTCGTTGCAGACTGCTTCGAGGAAAGGGTGGCATCGCTGGCGTCGACCAGTCATCTGCAGCCGTGGAGCGTGTGAAAGGATCGTTCAGTCGATGAACCCCCGGGAGCACCACCGCAAATGACCAGTGCGAAATTCAGCACAGCACCTTTGCGAAAATCCAGTTCAGCAAAATCAAGGGTTCCACTGTTTCCTGTTAGTGCTTTCACGCTGTCGCAAGCGGACCAGTAGTTGCGAAATCCGTTCCGCAAATGGTAACAGGCTGGTAAACACCAGATATTTGAGAAAATTATATGGGAAGTCGCAGTTAAGCCCGGTTTATCACGTTTGGTCACAGGGTTATCACAAACAAAATCACATTACAGTAAATTTATATCGCCGGTGATCACAGTGCTATCACAGATGGTCACACCTCACCCCGAAAAGCTATCACGTTTGGTCACTCGTTGAAACCTTGATAGAAAGTTGAAACTACTCAAGTCACTGTAGGGATTCAAGGAAAGTTTTCTCGCGCGCGCAGTTTTGTCCGTAGTGCAGTTTTGTCCGTAGTGTTACGAAATAGTTTTGCGACAGCTCTCGGTAACTCGTCAAGAACATATGCAATTTCTTGTATAATGTTCCTAGCAGTATCACTTTAGACGGGTGATACTCGAAGGGTATTTCTGTTCCCAAGACCAAAATAAACTCTACCCATTCGGATGGGATTTAATTCGGGATGCATCAACCCTAAAAACCTTGTCTCATGACGTTTAGGGTTGATGCCTCCCGAAGAACGTGCCATCCTGTAAGGGTTTATATTTTTTCTTCAGTCCTCTAAATGTCAGGCTAGAATCATGCGCGAGGTAACAAGCAATCAAAATTAGGATTCCCCAGAATCTCTACAGTTTCTTCTGTGGTTTCAATTTTATTTCGATCGTCTCATCGAGTGACCAGACGTGATAACTTTTTGGGGCGAGGTGTGACCATCCGCGATAGCAGTGTGATCACCCGCGATAGAAATCCACTGTACTGTGACTAATATTCCGGTGACCAAACGTGATAAAACGAGCTAAACTGTGACTGCCTGTATAATTTCCCAAATATGTGAGTGAAGGACGTGGACAGCATACAGCCGCCACGTCAGCTAACTTCGAAAATACACACGCGGCTTGCCACCGACATCCATTCGGCTGGTGTTGGTGTGGAATGTGTGGTGTGGAGGGAAGGGGGAGGGAGAGCTGAAGAAAATGCGTGGCACAAATCCGTACTCGTTAGATCTCCGCCGCAGCTGTACGAACAACCCAGCTACGTTCTGCTAATTCCTGTCAAATACATAAAATGCAGCAAGCTTGTACAAAAGAGATTGCATAGACTAGCTACTTGTTATGTGTGCAACTCAACGAGCAGGGTGAGGATTTCACACGGTAACACAAATTTGCGAGCTAGATATGCGGAGATGGCAGCGAGGTTCTAGCTAGTCTCGAGGCGTTGGCCGACTTGAAAATAGTACTCCGTCAATGACTAAGGTCGAAGGGTTGGTGAGGATCACCCCAGGAGCACACTCGCAGGCACACCGCATATGCGCAGGCACAGGCACATGCAAATGCACACGCACACGCACACACACCCCCACACACACACACGCACGCACATGCGCGCGCACGCGCGCGCGCACGCGCACGCGCGCGCGCACGCGCACACACACACACATATTGGAGGGAAACAGTGGTGGGGCGGTGGTATGCCCCCAACCCACCGAGGGCACTTCGGTGCCTTCGATCCCTTTGACTAGGGATCGGTGGGGTGGCACCGATTGACTTCGGGAGACTCATCCTTCGGTGCCACGTGGCGGCACCATATTCCAACCTTGGAGTTGAAGTCACATTCGCTGTGTTCGGTGAAATTCGGTGGCCGGATTTCACCCAACCGAAATTGTTACACGCGGCGCACTAGCGACGCAAAATGTGTCAGAATATTATCTTATTGTTCTAGCCTGTAGTGGGGTGCTCTATAGCGAGTACAACCCTTCTAGGGTTTGCTATTTGTATCCCCATTTCTGCTAGTTCAACCCTCTTTCTTCTTCTAACTTCTGTCATGCTATCAGAGCAGGTCGATCCCCTTGGATCGATCCTGTGGGTGGGTTACCACCTCGCTTCCGCTGCTATTTTTTTTCCTCCCGCTGTGCGCCCCGAGGCGCGCGGCGGTTTTCTGCCCGCCGTGTGCCCCGAGGCGCGCGGCGGTTCTTTGCCCGCTGTGCGCCCCGAGGCGCGCGGCGGGCTTCTGCCCTACGTCGCGGCCCCGCCCTACGTCGCGGCCCAGCCCCTCGAAGCGGCCCCGACCGTCGCAGCCCCGCCCCTCAACGCGGCCCCGCCCTACGTCGCGGCCCTGCCCTGCGTCGCGGCCCCGCCCCTCGAAGCGGCCCCGCCCTATGTCACGGCCCCGCCCCGACCGTCGCGGCCCCGCCCCTCGACGCGGCCCCGCCCTACGTCGCGGCCCCGCCCTGCGTCGCGGCCCCGCCCCTCGAAGCGGCCCCGCCCTACGTCGCGACCCCGCCCCGACCGTCGCGGTCCCGCCCCTTGTCGCGGCCCCGCCCTCCAACCAGGCCCGTGGTGGGCCCCTTTCACCACACCGCCCCCCCCCCCCCCCCCCCCCCCCCCCCTTCCCCCTGCCATTTCCCGTCGCCCGTCGCGGCTCCTTCGGGGGCCGCGAGCTGTGGGGTGGCGGGTATGGGGGTGGCCGGTGTGCCTTCCTCCCTTGCTCCTCCTCCTCCTTCGTCTCCCACTGCTGCAGCTGTCGCTGAGGGGGGTGGTGGTGTGGGAGACTGGGGTTTAGGGTTTAAGGGGGGGTACGTGGGAGTAGAGCTAGCGGTGTAGCAGTGGGTGTGTATCAGGAGGGTGGAACTGTTTGCGGGAGGTTGAGCGGAGGCTTCCGGCTTGTCGTCCGCAGCACCTGTAGTCCGGGGCGCTGTCCCGGTAGCCCAATCGTAGCCAGCTGTGCCAGCCGCCCGTGGGTCCGTTGCCCGTCCGCCGCTATTTGAGCCGCGGGGCTTGTTACTCCTGTAGTCCGGGCGCTGTCCGGTAGCCGCTGTGCCAGTGTGCCTCCTGTTGCCCGTGTGCCTGCAGCTTCAGCCGTCGCCTCCTATCTCCTCTCCCCTCACTCTCTCTCCTCCTCCTCACTTGCCCGTTGTGACTACCACTAGCTCTACTCATAATTGTTAACTCTACACTATCTCTTCTTGAACTTGTGCTCAGAATGTGTGGTGACATTGTGATCCACCCTGAGCTTGTACTACTTTGCCTGCTCTGCTGATTACACCCAACTTTGGCTATGGGGGTGTGTCAGAATATTATCTTATTGTTCTAGCCTGTAGTGGGGTGCTCTATAGCGAGTACAACCCTTCTAGGGTTTGCTATTTGTATCCCCATTTCTGCTAGTTCAACCCTCTTTCTTCTTCTAACTTTTGTCAAAATGTAGCGACTCGATGTTACACATGCAGTTCAATGTAATTGAGTTGCTATAAATTGTGATTGTTTTGTGTGCATGAGTCATATTGAAAACCTGAATCATCTTGTACAT